TTGTTGTTCCTACCTTAAGATGATTAAAACATCTACAATTAATTAATTTCTCTATCCATCTTAGAAACATAAAAGGGCTGGGTGTGGTGGCACAATGCTTGTAATCCCAGTACCTGGTCTACGCAGAGAGTTACAGGCAAGCCAGGGCTTACAGAGTGAGACCTTGTCTCAAAACAAAACAATACATAAAAAGCAAATAAACTATACACACACACCACCACCACCACCACCAACAACAACAACAAAAACCAGCCTTGGTTATGCATGCCTTTAATCTCAGAACTAGCAAGATAGAGACAGGCAATCAGGAGTTTATGGTCATCGGTACCTAAAAAGAGAGTTCAAGACCTTCCTGGGTCACAAAACAAACAATAACAACAGAAACCCCCAAACAGAATACACCCCATAATTTCTCAGAGGCAACAGAGGTCTTACTTTCAAAGTGTGTGTTTTTCATGATTTTCAAACCTGTTTTATACTACAAAGTTAAAGGGTTCAAAGTATGAAAAATTTAGGAAACCGTGTGAAACCTTAGTCAGAGCTCAAGTCCTGCTAGAAGGACACCCTTTGATTTGGTGGCTGATTCCTTGACATGACCTCTTTTAGTTCCCAGATACGGGGTACAGCAATGGTTCTGAATACTACAGATTCCCCAGAACTGAGAGCTTTGGGTGGATCGTTCTAGGAGCACATTCCCCAATCTGCTGTGCTGACATGTGGAAGGAGGTATCCTCACACACAGAAGCATGTCAAGAGAGCCGGGCTTGGTAAACACAATTAATGAGTGGAAGCAGCCGATGAACATACATAAAGAACCTCATTAAGGACTCCAGCACTCTCGTCCCACTAATTAGGAAACAGTTTGAAAGCATCTCCTACACACAAGCAGATTGTTCAGTTCAACTCAGAAATATTCCTTGAGTGTCTCTGTCAGACGCTGGAGGCCAGGATGGCAGGGATGGGGAACTTAGCCTGCAGGGCTGGCTATGCCTCACTGTCCCCTGGACAGGGAAGATCTGGGAAGGTCTGCACAAAGGCACACTGGTGCAGAAGGTGCCAGAATAAACTTGTGCTTACTCTTTTAAAAAGCCACTTACCTAAAACATCAAATGCCAGCAGGTCTACAAAATATAAATTAGTGATGAAGATTAGACCTTCAAACAGCAATAAGCCAAGAGTTGGGAAGTGGTTTTGAAAGGAATTTGTAAGCATCCAGGAGTTGCTCTTCAAAGTATCAACTGTTTGTTTCCATTTTGTTGATATTTAAATCATCAGGAGAAAATCTGTACTCCCCATATGCACATACATTGGTGAAAAGAGAATTGGGATTTTTAGATTCCACCACAACAGCCAAGGGCATTCTGGACTGTAAGGGCCCGCGGATGAGGAAGAGTGTTGTGAAATACTGTTTTGTGGACGTACACTCCGGGACTCACAGCCCTGTGGCCGCCCTGCAGAAGACCTGCACAGAATGCCAATAAACATTCCATGATGGGTAACAGAAGGACAGGCTCCACCCCTGGTTGAGGAAGGATGGGCAAGTGGCTTCCTGGGAAAAAGAAGTCACTTTTCTTCAGGAACTGCTGGTAAATTACCCATCTCCAGAAAACCCCACAGCCATGCTTATGCAAGCAACCCTAATGAATTAACTCAGCGAATTAAAACAGTTGAGATAGTAAGAGGAGGACCGGTTGGAAAAAAGAAGGTCAGAGGTAGTGGGAGGAGAATAAGAAAGGGCAAGGGTGGGGGGAAATCATCAAAACACATTACATTCTTGCTTGAAACTGTCAAAGTAGAGAATACCTTAAAAAGAATTAAGGGCATTCTAGTCTACAGAACTATTATCAAGGTAATAAGGCTGGACCAAATCCAAGTATACAGATTGATACGAACAGAATCAATACAAATGAGTGAGCTGTATGTCATACTATTAAAAAATAAAAAAACCATGTGAAAGTTCACGGAAATACGGCACCCAGGGAGAGAGAAACAAGGAAAAGAGGCAACAGGCTTGGCGAGCACCCTCGGGAAGGACAGGTCTGGAAGAACAGAATAAAGGCACCAGACAGGCAAACAGCAGTCATAGCAAAGAATCACTGCAGCCTCGTAAGGCCACCAGACCCTCAAACGAGAATTTAAATAGTACTATTGTCGAGCATCATAAACAATTTAGGTGGAAACATGGTGCGGTGGCCCACGCCTATAACACTAGCACCTGGGAGTCTGAGGCAGAAGGATCACCAGTCTGAGGACAGCCTGAGCTATAAGGCCAAGCCTTGGGCACAGAGTCAGACCCTGTGTCAAAAACAAACAAGCAAGCAAACAAAACAGAACAAATAAATAAAGTTGGCTGGTTTCATTCCTGACACTATCTGACCCTATAAACTAAGAGCCTGGAGGAAATCTCTAGACCTAAAGTCAGGATGGATGCTTACATTTATAAACACTTGAAACTTGTCCCACCAAGGAGTCTGGAAGACCACACGTGTTTGAGAACTATCTTAAAACTCATAAGAGTCCATGTGGTGATACAGGCTGCAATCCCAGCAATAGGGAGCCAGGCCATTCTGGGATGTGGAGTGAGACCTTGCCACAAACAAACAAAACAGGGCTAGTGAGACGTGAAAGTCCTTGCTGATAAACTTGAGGACCTGAGTTTCATCCCTGGAATCCACATGGTGGAAAGACTCCTGCAAATTGTCCTTTTATCTCCATACCAAAAAAAAAAAAATTAATGTTAAAAAAGAAAAAAAAAACAATATTCATCATTGGAATTCCTTCCTAGATCCTTTTCAGTAAATATCCCAAACCTAAGTTTTACCTTCTGTGTGTGAATACCCACATTCATTCATTCATTCATTCACTCATCTGTGTAATTAATTACTCTCCATCCATCCATCCATCCATCTACCTATCTATTATTTTGACACAGTCCTGCAATGCAGCCCTGGCTGGCCTGATATTTACTGTGTATTTCAGGCTAGCCTTGAACTGGAGGCAATGTTCCTGCCTGTTTCCAAAGTGCCTCAGCACACCTCCACGCCTCCGTAGTACTCATTTATTTTAAAATCCTAAATACACAAGCTGTTCTACAATAACCCTGACGACAGCATCTTCTTCCATCAGCCAATGGCAACAAGGTCTAAAATTCGACAGCTGGGTAAGAATCTGAACTTGTAAAGTGCTCACTCAGCCCAGGCAAAGCACTTTCCCGTGGAGGACACGCTGTGAGGTGGGCTCACAGATTACTGAGTGAAGTGCCTTTTCACCATAGCAATCCCAGCAACTCCAGCTCTGGAGGCTGGGGAAGAAGGATCCAAGGATCAGGAATTCAGGGTAAACAGTGAGTTTGAAGTGCAGGAAGTTTACAAAAGACCCTGTCTCAAAAACAAACAAACAAAAGTAAGAAAGGAAAACAGATAGAAAGAAAATGGGCTGCAGCAGTTAAGAGACCACATAGCTCTTGCCAAGGACCCAAGTTCAGTTCCCAGCACCCACATCAGCTGGTCACAACTCCTCCGGCCACAGCAGATCTGTGGCCTCTGGCCTCAGAGGGTCCCTACATTCATATGCACGCGAGTATTGTCATGAATTCAAGAGTAGTCTGTAGTACATAATGGGTTTCAGGAAAGCTTGAGGTATAAAAATAAAGCCCTGTCTCAAAACAGCAAATAATAGCAGTAACAATAAATTAATTAGAAAATTTAAAAATGGGGCTGCAGAGATATTTTAGCGTGCATGAGGACATACTCCTCTTGCAACAGACTCAAGCCTGGTTCCCAGCACCCACACCCAGGGGCTCATGTCTGCCTATAATTCCAGGTCTAAGATTGCAGACACTTCTGGCCTCATTGGCATCGGCACTCACACACATATATCCCAACACAGATACCAGTAAACACAATTAAAAATAAATTTTTAAAGAAAAAAACCCATACCAAATAAATGTAAAATGTTACATTTTCAAACATGAACTTGAAAAAGTGTGTTCAACATTTAAAACATTCAGGGGCTGGAATATAGTTCAGTTGGCGGAAGGCTTGCCTTGCACAGGGGTTCCCAGCACCGCAAAAGAAAAAAAAAAGTACGTTTATAAAGTATTCAGAAGACCTTATATATTGCAAATTTAACATACGTTAGATTATGCTACAGTAACTAAATGAAATCAACGTTACATGTTTTGTGTGTTTTTAATACTATGCTGAATGTCTGGGTGAACGAATACATTTTTCAATGAAAAAAATTCAGCGTTGGGTTTAACTTTGATTCCTGTTTCACCAGAAAGCACGGCGGGGGCGGGGGTGGGGTCCAAGCATTCCGAATAAACTCGCTGCCTTTAGTTAACTCCAGTTACTGAGTAGTAAAGGCAGATGAGGAGAGAAACAAAAACTAAAAGAAAAAAAAAACAGCAGAAAGCTGGCCCCTCCTATCCAAGGAAAACTAATTAACGCAGATTAATGATGCAGAGCCACGTAGGGCTGGGAAACCAGATTCCTGCTTTAATCTGGTGAACTGAGAGTAAATCTGGTGGCGTTGGAAGCCAAAGCTACCGAGGAAAAGCAGGCTGGGCCGGCGTCGACTCCCTCAGATAACCCTCTTGGGACCAGAGTCGCAAGGTTCCAACTCGGACACGCGTGAGGCTGTAGGGTCCCCGTCTGCAGCCTGCTCCCGGCCAGCCCAGCAGAAGCGCCCCCACTGCAGGCAGAGACCGGGAGCCGGCCGGGCGCTCACCCGCAGCCAGGCCACTCACACCCGCCGCCAGGGTCGGGAAGTCTGGGAACTAAGTGGCCGGGCGGAGACACCGCGCAGGCAGCCGAGGAACAGGCGCCAAGCTGCCGCGCTCGTTTATGCGGGGAAGGAAGGAGTTTTGGGGGGCGCGATCCGGAACGCACTCGCTCGCTGACTTCAACCCATCCCCGGCCTGGCGGAGACCGCCCGCCCCGCCGAAAGCTCCCCGGAGGCCCATCGCGCTCCCAGAGCCCGGGCCCGTAGTCACTTACCCAGCTCCTCCGCCTGCAACCGGAGCGGAGCGCACACCGCGAACAGCAGCGCCAGGACGCCCGGCCGACCGGCCCCGGTCCCCATGGCCTTGCCGGGCTCCAGACCCGCAGAATCGGCCTCCCGGCCTGTCCCCACGCCACCGCTGCCCGCTTGGCGCAGCCTCCTCCGCGGCCCGGCGCGGTGCGGGCACCCGGCACCGATCCCTCTGGGCGGCCCGCGCCCGCGAGAGGGCGTGTCCGCCCCGCCCAGCCCCGCCCGCCCCCTCCTCGTAGTGACCCCTGGAGCCACCCGCCTCCGCTCAAGGGGAGCGCCCAGTTTTCTTCCCGTCCCCGCCTCCCCCCTCCGCGCCACCTGCCCCGATCCACGCGAACACGGAAATCAAAAGTTCACCTGGCGCGCAGGCTCGCCGGGAGCCGGGCGGCTCACGAAGACTCCGCCCCTCGGGCGATTTGTCAGCTGCACCGTACTTGGAGGTCCACCCAGGCAATGCAGGGCACCCGAAATCTGATGGAGTGATGGCGGCAGCAGGCAAAATCCAGTTCACGTTCATTCATTCTCTCTCTCCCTCTCTTCTTCTCTCAGTGTGTCTGTCTGTCTCCGTCTCTGTCTCTCTCCCTCTTTCTTTCATTCATTCCGTTGTTTAGCTCAGCTGTCTGCTCCGCTGGGTGCTTGAATCCACGCGGCATTTACAGAGCTTCAAAGTAATCGCCCAGTACTAATTGCAATCGGTGACGCCGAGAATGTCCTTGGAGCACATTTGGGGGAGATCTTATTAGATGGATGGTGAGAGGGCTAGGGGGAGCAATGAGTTCGCGACCAGTCTGTTCAGAGGAGTAAACCTCCAAGGTGGCCGGGGCTTTGTAGACAGGCAGGTGCCTGGCCAGAAGTGGGAACGGATGTGCAGTGTAGAGCCTGTAAGAGATGCTTAAGCGACAGTGTCCTTAGAGTCCCAAAAGCTTCATACCGACCAAAAACTGATCGACCTCTGCGAGGTGATGGAAAAGTCTTGAGAGACGCATCATGGGTCGCTGAAGTGTTCGGAGATTATTGTTGAGTTCAGTTGGGATACTGGCCGTGAAACTGGACAGAGAAAAGGTAAAAACTTGTTTTAATGACCATCTCCTTTAGGGTGCCCTGACTTTCCTCTGCGGGGCCACAACCTTAGCACCATCTCGCGGCCTCTGGGAATTATTACACCTAAAGGAGCAGTGTGGGGAGGGAGACTCTAGGTGGCTGAGGAACTTGAGACCCTCCAAGGTCTTTGGAATCCTCTCAATTCCCCAACTCTAACCTGGCAGGTATGTATAACTTTTAGCCAGCACTTGGGAGGCAGAGGCAGGCGGATCTCTTTGAGTTCGAGACCAGCCTGGTCTACAAGAGCTAGTTCCAGGACAGGCTCCAAAACCACAGAGAAACTCGAAAAACTTTTTTTTTTTTTTTTGAGATTGAGGTTTCTTGTTTGTATTGAGAAAGATTTTCTTGTATCTCTGACTTGTCTTGTCTTTGCTAAGTAGCAGGAGGGTAACCTTGAACTTCTGGTCCTTCTTTCTCCACCTCTCTGAGTTAGGGAAATACAAGTCCGCACCACCCTGCCTGGCTTACACTTTAACTTTTGAGATTTACAGTGAGATTTGGCAGTGGACTTTGCCTTCTCCACTGTAGCCACCTTAGAGGAAAGAATTCCAGCTTTTGAAGTGAGCTCGCTCAGATCTGGGTCCAGCGCCAGCCTCAGACTGGGGCAGATTCTCTGTCTTCAGGTTAACTCTCCTCGTTGTCATAGAAAGGAAATAAATATGTATATAAGGATTAGCATGTAAAAGAGGTACTTAAATAGTAGGCTTATGTTCAAATCAAAAGTAAATATACTTTCATGGAAGTATTAAATATCGTTTCACATACTCCATAAAAAGTTATCTCGATAAGAAACTATTTACTAACTTCATATCTCCCTTTTTCCTTTCCTTTTAAAAAATAAATTGTCTCCGAGACCAGCCTGGTCTACAAGAGCTAGCTCCAGGACAGGCTCCAAAGCTACAGAGAAACCCTATCTCGAAAAACCAAAAAATAAAATAAAATAAATTGTCTTGTTTGAGACAGGGTCTAACTGGATAGCCCTGGCTTATCTGGAATTTGCAGGTATCCCCCTGCCTCTGTCTCCCTGGTGCTGAGATTGATTTTGCACCACAACATGCTTTTAGCTAAAATTTTAAAAATCACATTTTTGTTTGTTGTGTGTATATGTGTAGACCCATACATGCAGAGGTTAGAGGGCAGTTTGTGGGAGTTCCTTCTGGCTTTCCACAGTGCAGGACCCCAGGATAGAACTCTGGTCAGCCAGACTTGACTGCGGACCCTTTACCTGCTGAGTCATCTCAGTGGCCACAGCTTTCCTTTCTCTTCTGTTTATTTCTAAGAAAGTGAATTTGGACAGCCGCTGGCTGGCTCTAACAGGTTTGGCTCTGTGAACCATGAATGAAGCAAAGACAATCAGAAGCATTGTTGGCCAGGGAGGAATTCAGGGAGTGGGTCAGGTGACCTTTTCCATCTCAGTCAAGGCTTTGATATGAATAGTTCTGTCTTTCCACACTGAAGTCCTCAGTCTGCTAAAGGGAAAGCTTTAGGATCTGGTAACAAGGAGGATTCAGAAAGACCTGCTGGCCCTGCTGCCTTCCATTATACTGTCCTTTCTTGAATAGGAAAGAAATGTCTCCATAAGAAAATCCACAAGAACCAGCGATGGTGGAGAAAGGTGCTTGCTGCTAGCCTCAGGACCAAAGCTCATCTTTTTTGTATGTATAATATGCCTGTACTGGTTTGCTTGAGTAAGAGAAATTAAATAGAATTGCAGGCCTAATATGTTTTTAAAGTAATTAGAACATTTCAAAATAGATTTTTGTTCAATCTGATGACCTAATCAATTTTATCCTTAACCTTGGGTGACCCTGAGTATGATTCCATGACTATGAAGATGAGATTCTGAGATAAGAAACTGAAACCTTATCGGTATCTCTCCTGCTGCCAAGCATAGACAGAAATAGGGTCTTACTGTTTTGATTTTAATATAGGATCCTCTAAAGTCTGTGCCAGCCTTAAACTTTAGCTTGCTTTGTATCCAAGAATGGCTTTGAACTCTTGATCCTCCTGAGTGCTTAAATTATAGGTGTATATTACCACAACCAGCTTCCCTGTTGACTGAAAAATCAAAACAGCTTGTTACTGTTAACCATTGGAAAGCCATGTCTTCTAGGTCTGGAAAGAATTGTTGAATGCTAGAGCTAAAATGGGAAAACACTATCTAATTTTTTTTTTCTTTCTCATCCCAGACACTCAAGCTTTTGTTCTACAGCTGTCCTTGCTGCTCCAGAACAGCTGGCTCTCTATCTTCCAGATAATTCTCCTGTCTCCATTGCAAGCTCATCGGCCCTTTTATAGTGATATTTTGTTTGTGTTTTAACAAATAAAGCTTACCTGAAGATCAGAGTGCAGAGCTAAACCACTAGAGGTCAGGCAGTGATGGCACACACCTTTAATCCCAGGACGCGGGAGACAGAGGTAGATGGATCTCTGTTAGTTAAAGGCCACCCTGGGCTACTCAAAATTGATCTAGTCTAGAGGAGAAACAGAGCTCACAGAGAGGTAGAGACAGGAGTGATCTGACTGGGCAGAGAGAGGAATATAAAGTGGAAGGAGACCAGAGCTCATTGCGGTCTGAGGAAGCAAGCAGTCTGAGATGCAGTCTGAGGACAGGATTGCCCTTTTGGTCTGAGGATTTGATAGAAGTAAAAGGTCTCTAGTGGCTGGCTGCATTGCTTCTCTGATCTCTCAGCTTTCACCCCCTAATATTTGACTCTGATTTTTATTAGTAATATCAATTAGAATTCATATTACACCTTTCATCCATTTAGATAGATAGATAGATAGATAGATAGACAGATAGATAGCCTTTTCCTCCTGCTTTCAGATTTATCCAAATCAATGTCCTTGTTTGAGTCCGTGACTCTCAGTCATGGTGGGGAGGCAAGTAGGTGAGTATGGCCTGGTGCAATAGCTGAGAGTTTACACTTTGATCCAAAAGCACAAGGCAGAGCGGGTGAGCTGAGAATGGGAAGTACTTTTGCAAAACCCTCGCCATCACCTTCTTCAACAGGGTCAACCTCCTAATCATTCCCAGAGAGTTCCACCAACTGGACACTAAGTATTCAAATAAACGAGGCTATGGGACCCACTCTTATTCAACCCGCCACAGACTATAAGAACCCTCTGAAACTGTAAGCCCAAATAAATCCTTTCTTATGTAAGTTGCCTTTGTCATGGTGTCTTTTTTTTTTTTTCTTGGTTTTTCGAGACAGGATTTCTCTCCAGCTTTGGAGCCTGTCCTGGAACTTGCTCTGTAGACCAAGCTAGCCTCTCCAACAAAGCCACAATTACTCCAGCATGGCCACGCCTCCGAATAGTGCCATTCCCTACAGGCCTATGGGGGCCATTTTCATTCAAACAACCACAATCAGTATGTTCTGGAATGAATAAAAATACTTTTGTTAAGCAGATCTTGTAAAGAATGACTAGATGTTCACAAAACAGAAAGAAAAATAATAATAAGAAACCAGGATCTCGACAGACACCTCAGCAGTTAAGAATGTGGACTTCTCTTACAAGAGGACCTGAGTTCTATTCCCAGCACCCTTATCAATCAGGTGGCTCACAGCTGCCTGTGACCCCATCTTCCTCTGGCCTGTGGCACCTGTCTCTGCCTCCATGGGCACATATACACATAGATAAGAAGAAATGAAATAAATATATAAAATAAAATAAGAACTGGGTGATACGGGAAGGAAGAAAAAGCATAGTACCCCTAAATTATGGGTGAATAGAATAAATTTTCCTTCTGATATCAGGCATTTTAAGTTAGACTTAATGACCCAAGAAAATTTTCAACACCCTTTGAGCCAGGAGTAGCAGGGATAACCTATGATATCAGCTCTCAAGGTAGAGGCAGGCTACATGAAACCTAACCAAAGTAAAGAAATTAATAGGGAAAGCCGGGCGGTGGTGGCACACGCCTTTAATCCCAGCACTTGGGAGGCAGAGGCAGGCAGATCTCTGTGAGTTTGAGACCAGCCTGGTCTACAAGAACTAGTTCCAGGACAGGCTCCAAAACCACAGAGAAACTCTGTCTCGAAAAACCAAAAAAGCCGGGCGGTGGTGGCGCACGCCTTTAATCCCAGCACTCGGG